AGATGATGCCTGTAGAACACAGGTGATACCTATAGAACACAGGTGATACCTGTAGAACACAGGTGATACCTGCAGAACACAGGTGATGGCTGTAGAACACAGGTGATACCTGTAGAACACAGGTGATAACTATGGAACACAGGTGATGGCTGTAGAACACAGGTGATACCTGTAGAACACAGGTGATGCCTGTAGAACACAGGTGATGCCTTTAGACCATAGGTGATACCTATAGAACACAGGTGATCGTCTTCATGCTACTGGGATGATGGATTGACATCTTCAAGACGTCATAAGGGCCCCTAAGGGTTTTGATGAAGGTGACCAGAAGTATTCTGTGACTTTAAAAAGAATCTCTGCCCACCTGGTCAGTCATCTCCTTTTTCATGGACATTACTGTCTTCTGATACACAGCAGCATGCTTTTCAGACACAGGGTGGGGAGCGATTCTATCTCTGTGGTGTCTGGAATCTAAGATGATCTTTTGACCTCTCTCACTCCCATAACCCTGTAGCTAGAGTTTTCTTGTGTCCACCCAGCTCCTGCAGTCGCTCAGACCCAAGTAAACACACAGAGACTTATATTACTTATAAACTGTATGGCCGTGGCAGGCTTCTTGCTATCTAGTTTTTATATCTTAAGTTAACCCATTTTTATTAGTCTATAAGTTGCCACGTGACTTGTGGCTTACCAGTACTTTTACATCTTGCTTCCTCTGTGTCTGGCTGGCGACTCCTGACTCAGCCTTTCTGTTCCCACAATTCTCCTCTCTGCTTATCCCGCCTATACTATACTTCCTGCCTGGCTACTGGCCAATCAGCGTTTTATTTATCAACCAAATCAGAGCGACACATTCACAGCATACAGAGTGATATCCACAGCATAACCCTTAAAAAGACACTCCAGTATAATCCTATGCAATAAAACTGGTTATGTTACAGTTACCCCATACACTCAAGATGGATGTAAGTGGGGGAGCTCTGCATCCTATTCTCACCATCCTTGACTTCATTTTCAGGCTTCATAGGGCCGTCCACAGGGTTGCAACTTCTCTGTCTCCCCAGCTACTCCCAATGTCACCATTGTTAACTCTTACCCTCTTGCTTTCTTGAATTCTCCATCAACCTTCTTGGGCCCCTCTCTGCTGAGACTTCCTGAGGCAGGCAAGGGCACTGTAGAACGCAAGGGAATAGCGTTTGGACCAGTTTGATTAAAATACTAGAAAATAGTGGAGGATTGTACTAGAGTAACAGGCTGGGGTCTGCAGTGTGATTGCCATCAAACAACAACAATACAAGGACCATGACCACCCAGACTCTCTGGGGTTGCAAGAAGCAGGAAGGGCAGATTAGCTTGAAGCCCCTTGGAATAGCTCAGCAGTGACTTCTGTCTCCATTATGCTGGCCACGAAGCGTCACTGTCTTCCTATTAGCACTGCCACTTAGGTGGCATTTACTTGGTATTGTGACCCTTTTCACTGCTGTTACTGGAAGCACTTAGTCACAAGTTCTCCAAGGGGAAGGACACTTCTGATGTCAGTACCATTTTGGAGGCTAGAACAAATTGTTTTCTTACTTGCATGAAAATTACCAGGCTGACATCGTACAGGCTAAAAATGTTCAGAGCAGAACTTCTAAAAATAGATCCAAAATACCAAATCCTGTTGAGTGGGACTTCACAAAAGCCACCAGATATCTGCATATGGTTGTCTATGGAAAATGCGGCCTGTTAAAAATACTGGGAGGCCCAAAGAGAAAGATTGTTCAAAGGCACTTCAAGACAAACCAAACAACAAAACTTACAAATAAGCACTTATTTGCCTCACCAATGGACCGAATGATAATGATTTCCTAAAGGCAATGTGTCTCTTTGAAGGACAATCTGGAACACTCGTCAGTTATTGTGAACATTTTCCCTCATCGTGTGTCAAGGGACAGTTTACTGAAAGGGGGTTTGTTTTTATCTTTTCAATTGGTTAATAAAGTATTTGCTATGTTGAGACTCCAATGTATCTGGCAGATAAACAATTTTTAATGTGGTAAACATCTGGAAAAAATGATAAATCAATTCCATGTGGTTTTGTTTCTTGAACTTCTGTCTTGTTGACACGTCACTGGAGTGGCTACTATGTTACTAATATGTTTATTATCTACATAATTAATATATGGAGTATGTATACCTGGTTCAGGTTTATACTTGCAGAAAAAGGGTAAATATGAGGTGTTATTTTTTATTATATTTATTTATTTCATTATTATAATTTGTGTGTGTATATGTGTGTGTGCATGGGCACACCCGCACATGCTTGCGAGCATGCCACAGCATGCATGTAGAGCTCAGAGGACAACTCGTAGAAGTTAGTTAGTTCTCTCATTCTGCCTTGTGGGTCTCAGGGATTGGATTGGGGCTGTCAGGCATGTTACCTGATGAACCATCTCATTGGTTCCTAAACATGAAGGGTTTTTATTTGAATGTTTCAAAAGAAAGAAGTACTAGTCAAGCAATGAACCTATTACTAAGCATGCTGACATACTTACAGAAAGCTGTTTGTTTTTTTTTTAAGAGTCTCTGAGTCAAAAAGGCTGGCCAGATTCTCTTTTCCACTCTGCTACAGCTGACTGGAGTTGTTCCCTAGTCCTGTTTGTGTTGGGATGATTCTAGTGGGCTGCCGGCATGGCAACGATGGACCTTCTGCAGAGTGCGTCAACTATGGCATGCCCACCTAAACCTTTTTCCCTACCTCGAAAAGAGCAGGCAGCTTCAGTTTTGAGCTAGGCTTAAAGGCAGAAATTTAAACAAGAGCTCCCTGGAAAGGGGAATAAGGCTGAATGTATTGTAGTTATTTGAAGTAGATTTGCAGGATAAATGAAAGGCTAGGGCTTTGTAGACCCAGCTCTCCGTGCCTTCCTGCCTTCTTCTCTCTCACCTTGGGAGTTGTATTTCTTTTCTATTTAGTGTGTGTGTGTGTGTAAGTGCATGTGAGTATGCGCATGCTGTGGTGCTTGTATGGAGGTCAAAAGAGAGCTTTGGTGAGTCGGCTGTCACTTTCTGCCTTGATGGGTTGGGGCCTTTCTTATATCGGTGTCTCTTGCTCCTGAGCATCGAGCTGATCCTCCTGTCCCCACCTCCCATCCTGAGGTAGGAATTCTGAGATTACAGATGGCTGCCCTTGCTTCTGGCTTTTCGCATGGGTCCTGGGGATCAAACTCAGGTCATCAGGCTTTGTTTGGCAAGTGCCTTTATTCAGTGAGCCATATTCCTGGCCCTGTGTACTATTTCCTGGTGCCGGGGATCAAACCCAAGACTTCCCCCATGCTAGGCAAGCACTTCCAGCCATTATTATTATTATTGTTATTATTGTTGTTGTTGTTTTAAAGAACAGCAACTTCTCTATAAGCAGTTACACTATTCACCAAAATCTTTTTCCTTACTGTACAAATGGAATCAGATTTAATTTTGAACTAGGTTTAAAGGCAGAAAAATAAACCAGTAGATTTATCTGTAATCAATAATACAATCCAAAATGATACCTATGGTGGACGAATTTCTAAGCAGTCTTACTGAATTTAAAAAAAAATAGTGCCAAATACAGGGTGAAAGCCTTAGAGAAAGATCAGGGAAATAGTGAGAGCCACCAACCACCTTACCTCACCAGCTCTCAGCTTCCAAAGTGCCACAACTTCCTGTCTACCCAAACTTTATGGCCTTGCTGTTCTGCCCTCTAATTGGCTCTTAGCCCAGCTACCTCACTTCCTTTGTCACTGCCTGTCTGTACAGACCTCCAGGTCTCTATGGTTGGTATTGGGATTAAAGGCGTTGGCTCTATTCCCGAGTAAGGCCTTGAACACACAGAGGACCTGCCTGCCGAGTGATCAGATTAAGGGTGTGTGCTACCACTGCCTGACTTTTGTGTTTACTTAAAATGGCTTGCTATTTCCTCTGATCTCTAGGCAAACTTTATTTATTAACATACAAATAAAATATCACTACATTTTAGCACAAATGAAATATCACCACAGCCTATTAGTATTATGCTTGGACTATTAATGTCCCTTTTTATAAGGAAATTCCCTTAAGAATAAACTGATGGATGCCTGGCATGGTGGCATACTCCTTTAATCCCAGCACTCAAGAGGCTGGGATAAAAGGAGTGTGATCTCTGAGTCTAAGGCCACCCTGGTCTACAGAGCAAGTTCCAGAACAGCCAGGGCTACACAGAGAAACTCTGTCTGGGGGGGGGGGGGGGGGGCGGAAATAGAATATGCTGCTGGAAGCCCTAGAGATGGCCTAGCAGTAAAGAGTGCTTGCTACTTTCTAAGAGGAACCAAGTCAGGTTCCTATCACCCACATGTGGTGGTTCACAAACACCTATAACTTCAGCTCCAGGGCATCTGAGACCTCTGACCTCTTGAGGTACCCACATTCACATGCATAGACTCACACACACACACACACACACACACACACACAGAATTAAAAGTAATAAAATTAGGGCTGCGGAGTCGGGTTAGTGATTAAGAGTACTTATTGCTCTTGCAGAGGACCCCAGTTCAAAGTTCAATTCCCAGCACCCACATGGCATCTCATAACTGTCTATAGCTCTAGTCCCAGGGGACTCAAAGATCTCTTTTGACCTTTGAGGGCACCAGGCATGCATATGGTACAGGGACATGCATGCAAAACATACACATAAAATAATAAAATGAATAAATCTAAAAATGATTATAAATCTTAAAAGAGGAATATGCTGATGTTTATCATCATGAACATGTCACAATAAAATCCAATTATTCTGTATAATAAGAACAAAGAGAAGGGGCAGGTATATGATGATGTCACTAGAAAAACTGGGTATGGTGGGTACAACCAAAAAGATACCCTGGCTGTTTCAGAACTCACTATGTAGACTAGGCTGGCCTTGAACTTACATAGATCTATTGTCTCTGCCTGTGAGTGCTGGCATTCACAACTACACCTGGCTGTTACCTCCTTTTTTTTTTTTTTTCCTTCTGACATCCTGCCCCCTCCCCGCGAATGCTTCCACTGCCAAACTTAACAATTTTTTTTTTTCCCTTAACAACTGGCATCTCCATTCTTCTTTGGGAGAATGTCAGGTTGTTTTTGTTTGGAAGAATGCTTCTGTAAGCAGTTGAGACCACGAGGTCTTAGATGTCAACTGATGAAAAGCTTCTGAGAGGGATTCAAAAGTGCTGACCTTGGGAATTTGCTCTAGAGGAGAGAAATTCTTGGCCACCCTGAGAGAATGTTGAGAAGGCAGAGGAGAGAAAAGGACGTGTCAACAGAGTGAGCCAAGCCTAGGGGACATGACAGAGTGCCACAAGAAACCACTGCTCACGAAAGGGCTCTGCAGATGAGAGCGTGCAAAACATGGTCACCCCTCAGTCACCAGGGCTAGTTTGAGGCCCCTTCCCCAGGGGACCGTAATCTTGGAGTGCTCAGGTCCCTTATATAAAAACAGTGAAGTGGACTAGGGATGTAGTTCAGTTGTATTGAATGTGCTAAGCATGCAAGTGGCCCAGTGTTCAATCCCCAACACTAAATAAATGAATAAAATAGAATAGTATAGCATATGCATATAACCTAACATACATTTCCAGGGTATTGTTTAATATCTGGCATAATATAAATGCTATAAAATAGTTATTTGTGTTGTTTAAGAGATAATAGGAAAAAAGGAGAGGAAATGTCGTAAACCTAGGCTGGCCTCCTACTTGGAAAGTCAACGACGATCCTCCCCAGTCCTGGGATGACAGGGACATACGTTTATGCAGCGCTGGGATCGATCCCAGTGCCTTCTCCATTCTAGGTGAGCCCTTTCCTGGCTGTTTGAGTCGGTTAAATCAGTGGGTGTCTAACTTACTGATAGAGAGGTCAATTGTATGTCGGACACTGCTTTGAGCTGTTTCGAAGGCGGGACCTGGTGGGACAAGCTCCCTTCAACTCCTAGCTCTCCTGGGAAATCCACCCCACTCATTCTGTACCTGTGAGTTTGTTAGTTTTCTGTGAGGTGGGAGAGTCTGAGAAGTGAGTCTTGAGGGTGAAAGTGTGAGGCTGGAGGCAAAGGTAAACACTGAATCCTCCATTTTGTGCTGGCGGTTTCTAGATTCTTCCAGCAGGCTTTTTGGACTTGTTTACTCTATTAACGCCGAGTTTCTGATTCTCAAGGGGCCAGGTGTCTCCAGCTGGCACCCAGCAATTTATGGGAAGGAATGCTTGCTTCTTTGAGGTTGCCAGATAAAACACAGGATGCCCGGTGAGGTCTGAATCTTAGATAAACAGAGGGAGCTTTAGTGGATAAAAACATCCTAAATATTACATTGAGTGTATTTGTGTTGTAATGAGTTCTCTCATGAGAGCTTCTACAGATGCCCAAGGCAGCTGCCTGGCTCCATTTGGGCCTCGTTCCCAGAAAACAATATACCTCCCGACCAGGATCTAGCCAAACTGCAGGGCCTATAGAACGCATCTCTGATTTTTTCTCCTCCTTCCTCTACCTCACTTTTATTTTTCTCTAGCAATGATCCCCTCCCCCATCCTGTCGGCTGATCATATGAATTTAACTTCTTCCCAGGGCAGGTAACAGCCGCCCTATGACCCTCAAAGGAGTTGTGTGGAATGTCAGTGAGTTGGTATATGTAAGTCATTACCACTAGTCCAGGGAGGGGCCGGAAGACAGCTCAGACAGTAGAGGCACCTGCCACCGCGTCGCGTCGATAACCTAGATGACCTGAGTTTGATCCTCAGAATCCACCTGGTTGAACATGAGAACTGCAAATCCGTGCACGCTGTCCCGTGCACTCTGGCACACATGTGCACATGTGTACAAAATAAGTAACTAAATAAATGAACAGTACCTAGTATAGGTAAAATAATAACATCGAAGTCACAAGCACAGTGCAGAGTTGAGGGGCTAGATGTCTTTGGAAGGATTTGAACCCCTGTAGCCACCACTTCTGTCACTAACTCATGATCTCACGTGTGTGTGTGTGTGTGTGTGTGTGTGTGTGTGTGTGTGTGTGTGTGTCTGTGCATGCGTGCACGAGTGCACAGGCACGCTCGCATGAGTGCATTCTTCGAAATTTTGCACACTATGTTTGGATCCTGTCCACACACCCCTCCCACCAGGCCCCCCAGATCCAGCCTCCTTGGTGACCTTGAACACTGCAAATCTGACCCTTGATTGAAAGCTTTCAATGGCATTTGACCACTCTGAATAAGATCTGCTGGACACCGAATGTGTTTCTTTTACCCGTTTCCAGCGCTTCTCTGCTTGCCCGTCTTCCCTTCATGTTGAATTTTCCAGGAACACAGGCCTTCTGGGGCCACCAAGGTGCCAAAGGTACGAGACTTCCAGCCTAAGATGTTTTCACCATGTCAACGTAGTCTCGGTTTTCACTCTGTGTCAAAGACACTTCCTCAGACAGGCTGTTTCTGACCTCCTGGACTAGATTACGTTTAGAGTTTAGGCTTCTAGTTCTCCTCCACAGCCATTTATTATGTGTATAGTTAGATATTTGTCTGACCATTGAACTGTAAGCTCCACGAGGACAGGGCTCATGTTTATCTTATTAGGCATGATAGTCCGAGATCTACAGTCACCCCTGACCATAGTAAGTACTTGTCTTGGTCACTGTTCTATTGCTGTGAAGAGACACCATGACCAGGCAACTCTTATAAAAGAAACATTCAATTGGGAGCTGGCTTACAGTTTCGGAAGTTTAGTCCATTGTCATCATGGCAGGGACTGTGACAGCCTGCAGGCAGACATGGTGCTGGAGAAGGAGCTGAGAGTTCTGGATCCATAGGTAGCAGGAAGAGAAAGACACTAGGCCTGGTTTGTTTGTTTGTTTTTTTCTTCGAGACAGGGTTTCTCTGTGCAGCTTTGCGCCTTTTCCTGCAACTCACTTGGTAGCCCAGGCTGGCCTCGAACTCACAGAGATCCACCTGGCTCTGCCTCCCGAGTGCTGGGATTAAAGGCGTGTGCCACCACCGCCTGACTTGGTTTGTGGTTTTGAAACCTCCAAACCCACCCCCAGTGACTCACTTCCTCCCACAAAGCCTCAGCAACTCCTAATCCACACCTCCTAACCCTTCTCAAGTAGCACGACTCCCTGACGACAAAGCCTTTAAATGTAAGAGCCTATGGGGGCCATTCTTATTCAGACCATCACAGCACTTAGCAAAATAAGCAAAACAAAAGTCTGAAAAGAAATTTACTTTTGTTTTAGAGTATGTACATGTGCATATGGATGTGTGTTTGTGGGTATGTACACATGAGTGCAGCTTATGGAGCCCAGAAGATGATGTTGGATCTTCGGAGCTAGAGTGACACACAGTTGTGAGTCTCCCAGGATGGGTGCTGGGAAGTGAACCTGGGTCCTCTGGAAGGGCAGTAAGGGCTTGTAACTGCTGAGGCCTCACTTCATTCCCCCCGGTGGTTAGTTTTGTTAGGTTTGTCTGTTTTGAGGCAGGCTTCCTGTAGCATGGGTCTGACCTTGAGCTTGTTATGTGGCCAGCAATGACTTCGAACCCTGTACTTTCTGCCTCTACATCCCGAGTACTGGAAAATCTTGGTTTTTTTTGTTGTTGTTGTTTTAAATGAACTAGTTAGATGAAGGACAGCCCAATCTAGTTCGTGGTCCCAATCTAATCCATCACCTGAGTTTGTAAGGATGGTATGCTAAGAATAAGAATGGTTTTAACATATTGTAATTGCTGGGGTGGGGGGAGGATCAAAAGAATAATAATATTCTATGGCATAAAAATGAAATTTCATATGAAAATTTCATTTTAGTTGAAATGTCATTTTAGTATGGATATTTTTTTTTTATTGTAACCAAACCCTGCATTCCAATCTACTGGGTTGTTCTTGGCCCCTTCTGTGCCCCAGCCGCAGAGTGTAGCTGCGGCCTCACAGTTCAACATGTTTACACTCTGATCTTACACGGAACACTGTCCGTCCCTGTGCGGGACAAAGTATTGGGATCTCTGGGCAGCCTGTGCTCAGCCTCTTGCAGGTGGCTTCGCTCAGTTGTCAACGGTTGGCTTCTGCTGCTGAAACAAGTCTTCTATTTATTTTTGCCTAGTTGGTAGGATTGATTAAAGAGCGTTTCCTTTGTCCTTTGTGTCTCTTCTTCTCTATCAGCAGACAGCTCCCACCGCCACCACATACACACACAAAGGAGGTCAGTGTTTTGGCCATGTAACTATCTACACCCCACCTCCCCAGCATATTTCCTAGTTCTTTGAATAATCCATGAAATCTAGTCAAAATAAAAAGTTGACAGGTGGTAGCAATAACTTTAAGTAAATGCCTGTCTTTTCTTATCGACTCTCCTTTAATTAATACACTGGGATCAGATTGAATATTGCTTTTGAATATTGCTTCCGGCCCTCTCGACAGTATTCTGTCTCAGGTGCAAATTCACACCTAGCAGGATGTTTGAAAATACCCCTTGAAGTCTTGCAAGACTTGAAGCTGGTTTCAAAGTGAGAACTAATAACCATCAATGTAGTGACAAGGGAGACAGGTGTGGCACATTGCAACTTCGGGGGTTGAAGGGAGGAGGGCAGCAAGTTCAAGACCAACTCATCAGGAAACCAAAAATGTGGTTGAGTGGTCTGGGAATGCGAGCCGGTGGCATGAATACGTGAGACTGGAAGTTCAGTCCTCAGTCCCACCTGCCAAAAAGAAAAACAAATCAAGAACCACAAAAACTAGCCACAGGAAAACAAATCATTTAGTCTTTCAAGTAACTTAATTTTAAAAATACAAAACTTACCGACTGCGTGTGTGTTGGGGTGCTGGGTTCAGTGGTACTTTCACGGCAGAGTAGACAGAAGGGGCTGGACTGGGTTTGGGTGTCCTTTCTATGATACTGCTTGCTTCTCCAAGTTAAATATTTTGTCAGTTTTCCATCTCAGATATTCAGCGAGAAAGCTAATAAGGAGTCTGTGGTTTATTTCTTCTTTCTATTAACATATCATACAGTGGCTTTCTTTAGAATGTAATTCCCTCTGTGATGAAAAAAATAAAGAAAAGTCACAGAATATTAATAACCAGCAGTAAAATACTTTGGCTAAAGTTACGATATTATTGGTAAAGGCATCTCAGATAATAGATGTGTGTGGGTGTGCTGTTTTTTTTGAGACAGAGTTTCTCTTTGTAGCCCTGGCTGTCCTGGAACTCTGTAGTCCAGGCTGGCCTCAAGCTCAGAGATCTGTCTGCCTCTTCCTCAACTGCTGAGATGAAAGGCCTGCCCACCACCTTGCTGGGGCAATAGATGTGTTTTTGTTTGTTTGGCTGGCTCGTTTTGTTTCAGGTTGTGTCTCTTGTAGCCCAGGCTGGCCCTGGAATTTACCAGGTAGCCAAGATAATCTTGAACGCCTCATCTCTTGCCTCCACCATCAGAGTACTGGGATTACATGTGTATGACTTTGGAAAGAACAGTAAAATACATAATTTATAAATGATCTTAAGAAAATATAGGAGGGCTGGAGAGATGGATCAGCGGTTAAGAACATTGGCTGTTCTACCAGAGGTTCAATTCCCAGCACCCACATGGCAGCTCCCAACTGTCCGTAACTCCAGTTCCAGGGGATCTGACACCTTCACACCAACTCACATAAAATAAATTTAAGTAAATTATAAAAAATGAAAATAGAGGAGCTGAAGTAGGACAAAATAAATGTTAAAAGTTCAAGAGAAATACACATGCCATATGGGTAAGATGTTACTTAAGCTTCATTTGTGTGTGTGTGTGTGTGTGTGTGTGTGTGTGTGTGTGTGTGTGGTGTGTGCAGTTATGTGCATATACATATGTGGAGATCAGAGGATGGCAGCTTTGGGGAGTTCTCTCCTTCTCCCATGCTGAGGCAGAGTCTTTCTTGCTTTGCTGAAACCTGCATACTCCTGCAAGCTTCCAGGCAGTCCACATGTTTCTGGCTCCCAGCTCACTTGAGTAATGCCGGGATTATGGGTTTGTGCCACCACATCATGTTTTTGTTTGTTTGGTTTTTTTTTTTTTTTTTTTTTTTTTTTTTGGTTTTTCGAGACAGGGTGTCTCTGTGCAGCTTTGTGCCTTTCCTGGAACTCGCTTTGTAGACCAGGCTGGCCTCGAACTCACAGAAATCTGCCTGCTTCTGCCTCCCGAGTGCTGGGATTAAAGGCGTGCGACACCACTGCCTGGCTGTTTTTTGGTGTTTTTTAACATAAGTTCTAGGGTTGTCAGGTTTTGACGGCAGCTACTTCTACCTACTGAGCCATCTTGCTGGCTCTAAAAATATTTTAAAAAGAGAACTGAAATATCGTTTTCCTCCTTGACAAACAACAGAGAAATCCCCTAAAGATGGAAAAGTGCTTTTTTTTTCATTCATTCATTCCTTTATTTATTTATTATTTATACAGTGTTCTGCCTGCATGCCAGAAGAAGGTGCCATATCTCATTACAGATGGTTGTGAGCCACCATGTGGTTGCTGGGAATTGAACTCAGGACCTCTGGACGAACAGCCAGTGCTCTTAACCACTGAGCCACCTCTCCAGCCCCTGAAAAGTGCTTTTTAAGAGCATCAAGCCTTCCCAAGAGAAGAGAAGGAACTCTATGCAGCATGGTAGATGCAAAAGGAATTCAAGAGTTACCTGCAAAAGCCTCAGAAGCAGGGGTTAGAGAGATGGCTCAGCAGTTAAGAGCACTGGCTGCTCCTGCAGAGGACCTGGGTTCAGTTCCCAGCATCCATGTGGCAGTTTACAACCATCTGTAACTCAAGTTCCGTGGGTCCAAGGGGTGTCTTCTGACCTCCTCTAGCTCCTACACACACACACACACACACACACACACACACACACACACACACACAAAATAAAAAAGTTTCAGAAGAAATACTAACTTTTCTCATAGATCTTACAGGAAGCAAACAAGGTAATTGTGAATATTTATTTACAATAGGACAAAAAATTATGTTTTTTTCCCTCTGTATGAATATTACATAGATCAATAATTTTTCTTCTATCATTTCAAATAATTTTTCCTCCTCAATGGTATGGGGGGAAATGCTGAAACTATAGTAATTTCCAAGTCACCTTTTGAGATAGGTCAAAATGGCCATGGGAACGGCTCAGGCATCCGAGTGCTTTTTGTGCTGGGCATGGTGGTGCACACCTTTAATTCCCAGCACTCAGCAGGCAGAAGCTGGTGGATCTCTGAGTTCGAGGATAGTATGGTCTTCACAGTAAGTTCTAGGTCAGCCAGGGCTACAAAGTGAGACCCTTTCTTAAAAAAGAAATAAAAAGAAGATTTTTTTTTTGTGCTAGCATGAGGACCTGAGTTAGGATAGTTAACATCCATGTGAAAACACAGGTGCACGCTTGTAATCCTAGCACCCAGGAGGATCCCCGGGGCTCACTGGCCAGCCAGTCTAGCTAAATCAGGAAGTTCTGGGTTCAGTGAGAGACTTTGTTTCAAAAATGAGGCCGAGAGTTAAGAGGAAATATCACATTCAACTTTGGCTTCTGGCCTTCACATGCACACACATTGACATATGTGCATGAACTTGTACACATATATCCAGTGCACGTAGCACAAAAGCAGGTAAAAAGGAGCCTCAGGTCAGGTAATAAGTGCAAAGGGTATTCTAGACTCACCCAGAAATCCCTGAAAGTTCTTCGCAATATTAAAATATCAAAACTCACTGATTCTGAGGTAACCAACTTCCTTAATTTTTGCTCTTAAGATGTTCCTATTGCCAGGCCTGGTAGCACAAGCCTTTAACTCAGCAGAAGCAGGCAGATCTCTGAGTTTGAGGCCACCCTGGTCTACAGAGCAAGTTCCAGGACAGACAGGGCTACTTAGAGAAACTCTGACTTGAAAACCCTTCAAACAAGCAAACAAAAAAGTTCTTATGTGAAATAATGAGAATGGGACAGACATTTTACATGTATTTGTTGGTTATACTTTTAGTTTGCAAAACAAAGAGCTGATAGGCTTTATGTCAGTTCCCTAATATTTTTGGATATTTTACAAGTGTATGAAATAAAAGTATGTAGGAACCAGTGACCTAGACTAGTTGATAAGGGAGACCTAAAAACTGAGCATGGTGGTGTGTTTCTGTAGTCCTGGCTACTTAGCAAGCTGAGGCAGGAGGATCACTTAATCTCAAGAGTTTGAGGATAGCCTGGGTAACACATTGAGGCCCAATCTCTCTACTAAAGACAGATTTACAACAAAATCTTATGAAATTGCAATGCTCTTAGAGTGGTATGCAGGCCGAGAAGGTATTTCACCTGTGGGCTGACTTTTCTCCCTCATCATTTCAATTTGCTGTGCGTTCACCGAGAGCCTTCAGTTAGGCCAGACACTGTGTTAGAGGGTGTGGAAGTGAAAGGCACATGTGTGACCTTGCTCTTTCCGAGGAAACAAGGATAGTGCAACAGAGAAAAGAAATGGCTAGCTTCTGTCTTCAGTGTGAAGCCTGTCATCAGACTAGTACCTACTTGGCCAGAAAGAAGCACAAAGAATAAATCAAGGAGGGGATGCCCCTAGGGCGGGCCTCGTGAGGAAAGTGAGCACCTACACTGGGCCATCCGCTTGAGGGATGGCCAGGAGAGTCCTTCTGGAAGGACCGAAGGGAAGGTGAGACTCACAAAGGGCACCATATGGCTAAAGGCCTGACTGTCACATGAGGAGTGGTCAGGGAAGAAACTTGAGAGGTGGCCCGGAGTCAGGTTGTGAAGGGACTTCTTTGTTCTGTCCAGGTGCTTAGGTGATACTCAGTATGTGCCTAAAGAAATCCCTACAGGATTGCAAGTAGGACAGAGCTGGGGATGCTTCTACGAAGTCCAGTCCTGCCCTTTTTCTGTCTCAGCCGGTGAAGCTAGACGGAGCTGTTTTTTAAACTGATGAGTGTCGTGTTTCAACAATGCTCTCAATGGATGTCAGCTATTCTACAGGGAAACACGTTTAAATATGGAAGGTGGAGGACTTGGGCCTTTTCTCAGAAACCGAGGAAATATTCCTAGAAGTTTTGTTCTTGTGTTGTTTTCAAAACATGTATTTTAATTGTAAACTTAAAGATAACTACACTTATTTTTCAGCTAAGCTGTGTTTATAATATATTAGGATCAACCTAAGGTGACTGGCACATTTCTGTTTCTTTGTACATATATCACTTTTTTTTAGCTCTTCTGAAGTATTCAATTGTTGTTGTTGGTTTTTTATTTATTTTATTTTATTTTTATTTATTTTTTATTTTTTGGCAACTGTATCTACCCAGTTGTGCTACTGAACATTAAAAATCACTCTTCCTAGGCAGGTATGGTGGCACATGCCTGTAATCCCAGCGCTTGGGGCGATGGGGATAGGATGTGGGGAGTTCAAGGTAATCTTCAGCCATATAGAGAGCTCGAGACCAGCCTCCATGCCATGTGTGTGGACTGAAATGTGAATAAGCCTGGTGGACAAATGCAGAATACTTATAAAACAGAAGAATGATGTAAAAGGTGGTAAACTTAGCAGTCAGCTAAATAAGAGGAAGAGAGCCTGGGAGTGACTGCAGACGGCCCTCTGAGGTCACGAGCCCCTGCGCTGGCAGAGACAGCCACAGGAAGCTGGACCTCATAGAGCAGGTGCTTTAGATGGAACTGAAGATGTCACCTAAATGGAGACAAAAGCTGCAGGTGTGCACACACTTGAAATACCAGGTGCCTTTATCTCCAGAATATTACATTAGAATTGTCTTATGGGCTAGTGGACTACTAGAAACCATCTTACAATAGTCCGGGGGACTACCAGAAACCATCTTATTATAGTCTAGTAGACTACTAGAAACCATCTCATTATAGTCCAGTGGACTACTAGAAACCGGAAGTAATCTCAAAGCTTGGGGATGCTTAAGAGCTGGGAGCCGGCTGGAGAGATGGCTCAGTGGTTAAGAGCACTCACTGGCTGCTCTTCCAGAGGACCCGAGTTCAATTCCCAGCAACCACATGGTGGCTCTCAACCATCTGTAATGGGATCTGGTGTGCAGGCATACATGCAGGCAGAACACTGTATACATTAAAAGTAATCCCAGCACTCGGGAGGCAGAGGCAGGCGGATCTCTGTGAGTTCGAGGCCAGCCTGGGCTACCAAGTGAGTTCCAGGAAAGGCGCAAAGCTACACAGAGAAACCCTGTCTTGAAAAACCAAAAAAAAAAAAAAAAAAAAAAAAAAAAAAAAAAAAAAAGAAAAAGAAAAAAAAAAAAAGAAAAAAGCTGGGAGCATAACTAAGAAGCAGGATGTGTGCTTAACATGTGAAAAGCCCTGAATTCCATGCCAGCACTGAAAAACAAAAGGAAAGAAAAACCCAACACAAAACCAAAAGCGAAGTTCACGAATAATAAATGAGGATCGAGAAAAAGAATATGTACACATACATGGAAGAATACATATACACACAGTCGACTACCCCCACGTACATGTGTACACATGTGTACAGTTGACTACAACTTCAGGTTCCTTAGCTTCATTCAGATTTAGTTAGCATTGGCTGGAAAATATTGGCGGGGAGGGGAGTAGGGGGAGGATTTAAATTATTGCTGGCATGTACTATATAATAAATCCCACCATGGTTGTGTCCATAACTGAACATGTACAGATTTTTTTGTCATCATTCACTCAGCGATTCAGTAGAATGAGGATTCTCATAGCACTGACACTGTATTTATGAGAAGCACTCCAGAGATTATTTACAGTATGTGAGAGGATGTCGCAGGCTACAAGGGTATGTGGTTTTTATGAGTTGGGGTATCCGTGGGGTCCTGGAAGCAATTCCCTTGCAGATACGGAACGGTCGGACCGAGAGTTAGTTAAAGGTATTTGTTAGGCACTGGCATTTTCATTATAAACCAGCTAACTTCCTGTCTTGTCTCGGCTTGTGACGAGAGTGAGGGCTGAAACTTCAGCTCAGCGGTAGAGGGTTTGTTTACCTTGCGTGCGTGAGTCCCCAAATTCAACCCCCACTACTGCAAACATCGACCAACTCAAAACCACCCGCAAACCCCAACCGCGTCTCCCTCCCTTACCGCTTCTTGCTATGAATGGCTCTCCCTCCTGAGCTCGGGAGGGAAAAAGCCTTTTCTGTCAACAGTCTACGCTCTTTTCCCTCTTTCTGTGCGGGACGGACTGGCTTCTAGGGTGCCGCGGAGCACAGCCACTTTCTCGGCACTGCTGGATCCCACTGGGGGGGGGGGGGGGGGTCGCGGCACCTGTACGGACGCCCTGACTTCCAGAGTATCTCAAAGACCATCGCAAAGAGCGAGAGAACACTGAGCCGTTCCTCAACGTTTCCGGGCGGGGCCCAAAGTCATAACCACACTCAGTTTTTCCGGAAATAATCCTTTGCTTCTTGCATCTGGGGTGGGAAGCTGGTGCTACGCTAACGCAGACTCCGAGGCGGTCGCAGGGAGCAGGGGTCTGCCACAAGGACTTTTTTCATAACAGACTTCTCCCTCTTCTTTGGGTAGACGTGCTTTTCCCTGAAGGTGCCTCTGTCCTTCAAGCAGTAGCCTTCTGGTGTCCGCATTTGTAGCAAGAGGGACTCTGAGAATATCACAAGAGAGGACCATCTGTTTAATCTTTCCAAAAATTAACGTAGCTCCCGCGCAAACGCCAGTGCGACACACAGGACGTGACCTAAACGGAACTTCTATTGGGAAGGACTTAAACGCTTTTCTGAATGTCCGATTGCAAGACAAACGAGGAAACCTCAAGGTTTGCAGACACCTTCATAAACTCTTCCGGGTGCTCAAAGCCGGAGATTCAAGGATCTGAGCAGAGTGAACAGGGAGTGCGAACTTGGTTAATTGTCTGGAGCCAGTACTAGGATTTCAGGTGTTCTCACTCCATTCAGGAGACAGCAGGATTGGGTTCTCAGGATCCCACAGCTAGTGCGATGTGCTCCTCATCTGGAGATTTTTGCATTCTTCCCGTCTCCCTGTCCCGCTTGCCGCCGTATGGGCTGTTTGTGCTCGACCCCTACCAACATTGAAAAGGGAAAGGCGCTTAGAGGAAGCCAAAGTAGGGAAGACTTTACGGCTGTCTTTCTCTCCGCCGTCCAGGGAGAGCGATAATAGGTAAGGGGCGTGCAGACTTGCCCTTCCTTGCCCAATCAGGTACACAGGAAGATGTCTTTCTACCAATAAAAATAAAGTTCGCTTTCCGGAGGCGGGAGGGTGAGCCTTGACTGCCAGTTCTCCAAAGCAACGCTGGAGGCGAGGACAGAGAGTGATTAGAGGTAGGTCCAACCCGGGGAAGGGGGCGGGGCGAAGGTGGGGAAACTCTGAGCGGCGGGGGGGCCGGCCAGTGGAGGGCGAGGACCACTGTTCCTGGTGTAGTGTCCCTCGCCAATCAGGAAGGCGAGGGGGTGGGCGGGGCAGGGAAGGGGTGGGCAGAGCTCGCAGCACCGCCGGGCGCCCGTCGGGCTCTGGGAGAGACAGAAATCCGGTTAAAATCAGAGTCGGAGGGAGGTTTAACCACGGATCGGTCCGGATCGGATTATTCCTTAAAGGGGACGCGCCATTGTCAAAGAGAACGAAGCCTGGGGCCCGAGGGCGGGGACCGGCGGCGCTGGAGGAGCGAGGCAGCTGCACGGGACTGGGGACCTGGTAGGTGCTGCCTGGGGAAAGGCGCTTCATTTCACTTTCTCTTCCAGCGCCGGAGCAGGCGCCGGGATGCCGGGCGACCGTCGGCCGTGGGATCCGGGGTCCCCGGCCCTGGCCCGGCTGCCCTTCTTGCTGCGAGCCGCAAGGGAGGCGGACTGAGGTGGGCGGCTGCGGCGCCGGCTGGGGAGGCTCCTAACGGACGCGGGCGCGGCGCAAGAGCCGGGGTCAACCGAAAGCCCGTCGGAGCTGCGGCGGACCCGTGGGGAGCACCGCGCGCCTCGCTCTGCTGCGCGCCTCCTTCCCGGCCCGTGCCCGGCTCTGCCCGCGCGCCCGGCCGCCCTGGGCGCGCGCCGCCGTCTCCACGCGCGCTCCTCTCTTCCCGCGCGCCCGGCTGCCCTGAGCGCGCGCCCCTGCGCTTCTCCGTGCGCCGGCTCCGTTCGCACGCCGCGGCTTCACCGAGGCCCGGGAACCGCCCGGCGGGGAAGCGGGCGGCGGGGAAGCGGGCGGCAGGCGCTGCCGCAGCGTCGTGCACCCGACCCGGCTTGGGCGCGCCGGCAGGGCGGCCTCGGGAGGAAAGGCGGCGGGCCCGCGCAGCGCGCCGAGGTTGCCGGCTCGGCCGGGCATTGTCCGCGGTCCTTGGCCGCGTCTCTCCGCCCAGTGCCCGCGGTGCTGGGAGGGGTGCGGACCCGGGCACAGAGCCCGCTCCGCCCGAAGCGACGGCGCACCCCCGGACCCGCGCCTTCCGGAGCCCGGGTCGGCCCGGCGGACTGCACAGCCACCGCCCGCGGCCGGGCCTGCGCAGCCCGGGCCCCCTGTTCGCAGGCACCGGCGCAGGCTGCTCTCGGTGCCGAGCTCTGCCGTGCAACTTTTCTTTGCCTTTTGATGGGAGTTGTTGCTTCCGGGCGGCAGGTTCTCCGGGCCCGGCCGAGCCTCGTTTTCTTGCGTCTGGAGAGGCCGATTTCTAGGGCGACCTGGGGCCTGAATGCTGTCGGTCTTTCCTACCGTTCCAGCTTTGTTCCTCGCTACCTACAGTCGCTTTTCTGGTGGACTTTCGAGGATATGGGACCACTGAGTCCCAGGCTGTGGTTTTAAAAGAGGGGGCGAACTGGCTGAGGGGCAAGCGCTCTAGACAGAGCTAAATTTGCCTTAACCTTTTAATTAGGGAAAGCATTACCTAGACTTTATGCCAGAAGCTCTTTTGGGAGGGTAGAGGGAAAATTCAGCAAGACAGGTTGCCAGGATGTGTAACATTGGAAAAAAACAAAAACAAACAAACAAAAAAAGAACAACTTCTGATGGAAATAAAAGTTGGTTCTATAAACTGCTGTTCTGCCTAGCAGGTGCCTTGCTTCCATAAAGTTGATCTCTCCTACTGAATGCAGGCATTGTAACGACGAGCAGGCGGGCAGGCACTCTTTCTATTGGCAAACCAAATACGAGGTCTTTGCACTGTGAACATTATCCTGGCGTGGAACTTGTCAATACTTGCAGCAGAAATCATAGCTAGAAACAACACATCCCTTGTTAGAGTCCTTATTTAGAAAAGAATGTTTTCATAAGCCTTCATTTTGACAGTTTCTTGAGCAATGCTTTGTAGAGTACTTGGAGGCAGTAAGTTGCAACCTTATAAAGGAAGTAGCATCCGGTGTGTTATTCTTTGGTCTTATTTTTGTTACTTATTATTAGAAGTGGCGTCCCGTCCCGGTTGCCTTAAGCTCTGTTACAGTATTTTGCAAGACACTTTGCAGGAGTGAATTTGGTTGAAACACCTGGCCTAGTTTTTTTTTTTTTTTTTCTCCAAGGAAATGCAGATTTTAAAATTTGTTTATCACTAAGTTACTGACTGTCTAATAACTCTTGAATGAATTTTGAAAGTTCTCCATCTCAACAGTAATAACACCAGAAATTATATTTAGGGAACAAGTCTAACTTCAGATGTTGATACTTGAGAGAGAATGCTCCGTTACAGAGGTTAGGAAATGAAGTAAAAAAAAAATTACCTTCATTTTGATAATATCTGTCATTGTTCCACTTATTATTTTACGTCTGCGCTAACACTATCAGGCAGGTACCTGGGCATAATCTTCCTTGCTCATCATAGGAAGTAGGTGTTTAAAACAAATTTAAAATTTTCCAATTTTATTTATTTAGTGGCATAGTTAGACAATAGACTTTTTTTTTTTAAGAACACAAAAAGAAAATGTTCAGGAAGAATTATCTTTGAAAGGCCTGTGCTTTATGACCTGGACATGTGTTCTTCTGTGTTTCCTGGGTACTGCATACATATTTCTAAGATAATTTTGAGTCTTAGACTGTGCTTAGAGATTCTTGGGAGAGCTTGGATTGTCCACTACCTGCACTGTTTGTCTGCAGATCCAGTGTGTAACTACATACCCTGTAGATGCGTAGATGCGTAATTGCGCTGTTGCTAGTCTTTCTGACAGAAAAAGATACTGTCTTACAAAGGCTGTTTAAGATACTTTTTCCTCTAGCTGACACTCACAGTGGAAATGTGCCTCCCATTGAGTATCTTCAGACCTGATAAGCTAGGTAAGGACAATAACAATTCCTGCAGTAGGTAGTGAGCCCTGGGCCACTGAGCCAAAACCCCGACCTTTCCTTGTCCGCACTGGGGGAAAAATGTTTCTGAACAAGATCATACCAATGAACAAGAAGTGGTTTGTTGTCGGACAAAGCTATCTTAGTCTCGCTGTTCTTTGTTGGTGCATACAATTGTGATTTCATTTTATAGTACCTGTTGGACAGATAACTTCTTCTCATGGCATTCACTTATCACAACTCTCTGAACTAGGTAGGCTTGATCTGCCATCAGTGTCTGCCATGTACCTCCATGTTTAAGGATGGGGAAATAAAGTAGAAACAGATGACAGTCTTGTTCAGAAATTTAGTGGAGAAAGTCAAAACTGCTCTCCATGGGAGACACGGGGGTGTGTCAGAGCAGAACCATGTCCAGAGTAACAGCGACCCAGGCATCATGGGTAAAGAAGTGGAAGAAACCCAGATGATGTGGGAAAGTTCCTGCGACTCTAGCAGGTTTCATTATGTGCATGAAAGTATTTTACATAGAATGTTTTTGGATGCGGATTGGGTATGTATGTTACTGTTTAGCTGTAAATAGCTGAAGTATGTGGGGGGGAGCTTCAGAGTTTGAGCTGTGAATTCAGCTGTTACCCTGCAGGGTGGCCAGGGCCCATCTACCCCACGCCCAGCACATCACCTTGCCTTCAAGTCTGCCCCCTGTTCCCTTCATCAGAAGTGATTTCCCTTTCCTTCTAGGCCTGTCAAGTACTCTTACAGAACAAGCCTTGTTCTTGTCTGTTAGTTCAGTGTGGGCGTCTGTATATTTCCATCGTTAGATTGTGGAGAAGTTGGTCGGCAGAAGTTGGAGCCGTAACATGTTTGCAGCTGCCCAAAGTACCTGGACAGTTCTATTAGCCCACCAATATTCTATAAACGAAGAACTATAAAGAATACTTGCTTATATTTGGAGGAAAGTATTGATGTGAGTTGAAAGGAAATACTTTTCCTTATCACTAAAGTTCCACATGCTCATTGATAAGAAAGAAATGTCTTAAGAAATTCTTAATACTTTAAGAATATCCGCTAATGCTGCTCACTCATGACACTGCAACCCTTGTTAGTGGGTTACTGTCTTTTTTTTCTGACTTTTATTCTTTTATTACAACCTCAGGGCTGTCTTAAATGATTTCTCTTGAAAATTTTAGCAAGTTGTGATTATTGGGAATGAAGGAGAATAATATTTATATAATTCTTATGAATTTTCTAGGCTCTGTAGTTCTGCTTTTTTTTTATTTTGCATTGAATAGAAGGTTGCAATCAGTCTGTCTGTGTTCAAGATGTGAACATAGAATTAAAAACAAACAAACAAGCCGGGCGGTGGTGGTGCACACCTTTAATCCCAGCACTCAGGAGGCAGAGCCAGGCGGATCTCTGTGAGTTCTAGAGTTCCAAAGCTACACAGAGAAACCCTGTCTCAAAAAGCCAAAACAAACAAACAAACAAACAAACAAAAGCCAACCTGACCAACTGCAGTGTGCCGGAACATTTTACCTGCCTTTACCCTGTGATTTTTTTTTTTTTAATATAAAAGAACTTTTTTTTTTTTACTACTTTTTTGGAGTACATGATAAGCACAATTTCTTGGTATTTTTTTGATTCGTGTAATCTCTGGAGAGAACTTTTAAAAATTGCTTTGTGGCTCACAATTTACTCTTGAAGTATCCTAGAGGGAAATGCAGATTTGTTCCTCCTGGATCTCAGAAGGGGTTTTGCTCTTAACTTCGGGCTGCTCATCACTGACAGGGAGCCAAGGTGTAGGCTGATGAAGTAGGTGCGTCTATTGTTCTAGGTGCTTCTTTAAGTGACTTCAGAGAAGTTTTCACAAAGATTCCAAAATAGAAAACCCAGCTGCCAGCTGAGAGGTAGCCTCGTCATGGAAAGTCTCCATTCATTAGTAAGTTTGAGGAATTATGCCTGCTGTGGAGGCCAGGGGGCTGGTACTGGG